GCCTTGGGGTAAGGCAACTCTGGATTTTAGTACCATTCTCTGTCAACTGCCCCAATCAGTGTGAAGAAAGTCATCAGATCTCAGCGGGGCTCATGAACTCCTTGTGCAGCCCCCCACCCCCCAGCAATGTTGGCAGAGAAGTGTGGAAGACCCTGCCCTGGGAACACAGGCCTTTGGTGCTTGCTGAGAGCTCTCCATGGTCCTGCAAGTGCCGCTGTGCACAGCGCAGATTCCAGAGACTGGCCTTCCTCATTGCCCATTTTCTCCTGTTCTATTTATAACATCCTAGCTTTCCTTTCCTCACAATCGACACTTCATGGCCCATCTCTGTTTTAAAATTTTTAAAATACACAAAACTACAAAGTATAACATAATCACCCAGCTTAAATATTACTTGAAAAAAAGATTTGATATATTTGCAGACATCTATCTATCTATCTATCTATCATCTATCTATCTATCTATCTATCTATCTATCATCTATCTATCATCTATCTATACTAGAGGCCCAGTGCATGAAATTCGTGCACAGGAGGCAGGGAGGGGCCCCTCAGCCCGACCTGCACCCTATCAAATCTGGGAGCCCTCAGGGGATGTCCTACTGATGGCTTAGGCCTGCTCCCCGTGGTTCTTTGCTGTCTGTGGGGCCCGCTTGACCGCTCCTGGGTCGCTGCTGGCGACGGCCAAGCAGGCCCTGTGTCGCCACTGTGACACGGCAGGCATCCCGCCCTGCACCCGGCTGCTCAGCGCCTGAGTGTGTGCGCGCTGCCCCACAGGTCCGCTATCTTTGTCAGGTTAATTTGCATACTTACTCCTGATTCGTTGTGGGTGCTGCGGAGGGATGGACAATTTACATATTTGTCTATTATTAGTATAGGTAAAAAGCCAGTGACCGTAATGCCTTAATGACCAGAGACCAGAATACTGCGGCTCCTGGCCCAGGCTGATCTTGCCCCTCAGTGGGGACCCCCACCCTGATTGGAGACGTGGCCAGCCTGCAAACCGCCTGCGGCCCCTTGCCCATACTGGCCCCACCCCCAGCCAGGATCCCCCACCCGGGTCTGGGGCCCCCATCAGGGTAGGCCAGCCGACCCCCATCTGTGCACCAGGCCTCTATCCTATATAATAAAAGGGTAATATGCAAATTGACCCTAAAGGCAGAACGACCAGAACAACCGCTGGACCATTCACTATGAGGTGCACTGACCACCTCTTGGTTCCTTTCCCCAGCCGGCAGGTTCCGATAGCTTGATGGTGTACAGGGAACTGGGGGTGGATGGATGTGGGCGGCACCAGGCCAAGGTCCCGCACCACTGGTTGCCCCACACACAGAGGGCGACCCGCAGCGGGGGCGGGGCCAGCAAGTGGGCAGGAACACTCTCAGTCCCTTCCCCCGGCCGTCAGGCACTGATCACCCGATGACGGAAGGGGAACTGTGGGTGGGTGGCAGTGGGGGGTGGGACCAGCTGTGGGCAGCTGGGGAAGATAGCCTTGATCACAGGCCAGGCCTAGGGACCATACCCGCACACGAATGTCATGTGCTAGGCCTCTAGTTAATAAATAAGGAAAATACCATAATAAAAGGTAGTTTAGAGTAGAATAACAATAAAAAACCTTTGAGAACAGCTAATGAATAACCTACAAGATTAGAATGTCAACATGGACATGTTCTAGTTTGCTAACTTCTCTACGTCTGTTGGCAAACCCTCTTTCTCATTTCTGATCTGTATGAAACACATTTGAAAATCTCAAAAAAGAAAATTTTTTTTAAAAAGTAAAGAAATAATCCCAATGGCTAAAGTAGAAATAACCATGTAGAAAAAGAAAAGAATGCTTAAAATAGTAATCTCAAAAAAAAGGCATTCCTGTTAAAATGACGAGAATCCTGACAATCATCTCTGTTATCAAAATTGTTCTTAAATTTCTTGCTAATTTAAGCAAAAACAAAAGGAATAGCTTCAAATGATGCCCTGGACAGTGTGGATCAGTTGGTTGGGCATTATCCTATGCACCAAAAGGTTGTGGGTTTGATTCCACTGACACAGCACATGCTCAGGTTATCAGCCAATCCCTGGTAGGGGGGCATGGAGGACGCAGCCAATCGATGTTTCATTGTCACATCAATGTTTCTCTTTCTCTAAAAATCAATAAAAGATATTTTTAAAATGTTTATAAAAAGATATTTGCAAATGTTATGACTGCAAAGCTGGAGAACCTAAGAATAACAATAACAACAAAAAAGTTGAGAGCTTATCAAGTAATTTCAGAAGCATGGCTAGATACGACAAATTAACAAACTAGTAATAAAAAACATCTAGGGACACATTGTCATTCACAATAAACAAAATATCAATTATCTAAAAATAACCTTAACAGAAATGCATAAAATTTATAGGAAGAATATTACATGGCCCTATTGATATAAATAAGAATATTGATGTTATGAAATGCTAATGTAGGTGGGAAGTTTTCAGGGCTAAAAATTAACAAAAACGACGAGACTTTTGACAGTAATTTTATTAATCTCCTGAATTAGTATAATTAACAGAAAGACTGAAGATGATTTCCTAAGCTGTAAGGAAATGAAGGGCGGAGCGACAAGATAGAACAGGATTTCTTTCCATGTTAGTCATCCATCCAGTGTGTGCCGGGAAAGCAGAAATTCTGCATCAGATCTTGAGTTAAGCCAAACTTCTGCACACGTGGACCATTCCAATCAAACAGCAGCACTTAGAAGTAATCCTCACAAGGAGCTTCTCTGGCTCTGAACACATCTTCTGCCCAGCTGCGCCTTCCAAAGCACAGGGGCCCGAATCCATTGAGATTGGCTCAGCTATTTGAGTTTTCCTGAGATCCCAAATATTTATTGCTTATAGTTTCAAGTAATTATTTGGTCTGAAAAGGAGCCAAAGTTCATTTAATTTCTGTGTAATTCTAAACCCCTAAGGGACTCCAAAAGCCCATGGAGAACAGAGTTTCTACATGAAAACTAATGAGGGAGGGAGGCCCTACTTGGTAGGTGAGCCAGGGGAAAGGTGGGGGAGCTGATGGGGTACCAGGGTCTGGAGAGATGGGGGGCAGCAGTGAGTAAACTGACAGGACACCACTTCAGGTGTGTCCTGGAGGACTCGGAACCTAGCACTGTTAGCAGATCAGAAGTGAACAGTCTCTTCTTTTCCACTTCTCTTTTGGTTTTCACCTCTGCAAATGTGGCAGCAACTGAGGCAACACTGCCCCAAGGGACAAGGGAGGGGACCTTTACCAGTTCATTAGATTTTCACAGAGAGTGAACAGCTTTCTAGTTGGAGATTTCTTTTAAATATCTGGCCCAGTAGTACATTCAAAAAAATATATATTTTATTGATTTCAGAGAGTAAGAGAGAGGGAGAGGGAGAGAGAGAAACACCAATGATGAGAGAGAATCATTGATAGGCTGCCTCTTGCACGCCCCACACTGGGGATTGAGCTCCTAACCTGGCATATACCCTGACTGGGAATCCAAACGTAACCTCCTGGTTCATAGGTCTATGCTCAACCACTGAGCCATGCTGGCTGGCAGGTAGTACATTTTTTTTTTTTTACTGCCATTTACATTAGTGAACCTTCAAATGCATCTTAAATAAGAAATACTGCTTCAAGATATCATTTTGCAATGTTGAGAGGTACTTTTAAAAAAGTGCCTTCAAAATTTCTAGTTCTAGCCCTGGCCAGTGTGGCTCAGTTGGTTGAGTGTGGCTCCATGCATCAAAAGATCACTGGTTTGATTCCACTGGGGCACATGCCCTGGTTGTGGGCTTGATACCAGATCAGGGTACGTGTAGGAGGCAGCTGACCAGTTTCTCTTCCATCAATGTTTTTCTAGCTCCCTCTCAAAAAAAAAAATAATAGTAAAAGAATCTCTAGATCTATCTGGAACTTAGAAAAAACATCTCAGACCAGGGAATAATGATGGTTTACGGCGAGTGACCCGAGACGGGAATGTGCAGGAGGTGGCGACTGCCCTGCTGCACCTGCCTACTCCCACCCTCTCACCTCCACAAAGTCCTTTTGTGGGGGACAGAGTAGCTTGCTCCTTATAAATATCTCGGCATTCTGCCCTGCCAGCGCAGTCACCTGGTGGGCCAGGCTGGAGCAGTGGCAGGTGCCTTTTGTCCAGGCCTCAGCTGGGCCTCAGACATCTCCTTTCTCCATTCCCAAGTTCTCTGCCTGCACAGCACCCAGCAGGGAGAGGCCGTGCATTTCCCTGAGTCCCTGACTATACTGTGGGTACCCAGTGGGATGAGAGGGACCCAGAAGACAGATCATGCCTCTATGGGGAGAAGGGACAACATTGCCTTTGATCTTGTCAGAACTGTTCTATGGGATTGTACAAGGGCTAATGGAAGGTTTTGGTCCATAAAGGTCTTCAAAGATGGTGTGTACATTCTGGTCTTGTGCACATTCAGCTGGATGTAACCAAAAGTCCAAAATCAGAGAAATGGTCAGCAGTCATTACCCAGAGCTCCAGAGCCCTACCCTGGTATGCAGTAGAATACTTCAACCTGCATTTCAGTTTGGTAAGTTATTAGGTAGCTTACAAATTTACTAGGAAAACAATTCCTAGGGTAAATCTTGGAAAAATGAAGTAGCAGGAAAATGACAAAGAAATAATTCATTTATATAATCCCTAGAGAAACATTATAAAAAAAGCATCAAGTTGAAGATAATCCCCCTGATAATGGACTTAAATCAAAAATGGAATTAGAGTTTTCCTGGATTTTGGATAATCTTCAAATTTCTCAAGGTACCACCTACAATAAAAAAAAGGACATTAAAAAAGGAAATAATTTTGTCTCTTAAACATGTAATACATGCTAGCAAAAGGAACAATTTTTTTTATCATCAAGGCATACAGTTTTTAATAGTAATAAAAACTTTGGCATTTCAGATACATAGGTTGATTCTGTCTATGTATCATGGATAATTAGATATATGTGATTATAAAGTATGAGTCACAAGAAGTGAATCATATAACCCACCCTTATATTGGCAAGAAAAACTACTGATTTGTGATAAAGATGCAGATTAGCATATGGAGGAGACATCTTCCAGACCTAGGAAGCGTGCAGACTGGGGAAGAGAGGAACCCGGTAGGTGTATCTTAATTATTTTCTGGTGACTCTGTTAGTTTTTTCTAGTCCCCAGAAGAGAACTACTGCTTCATACCCAGAGTCTGTGGAATGGGCACCCAAGCTGGTAACTCTCAAACAGACCTGGGAAAATGCAACATGGGCTCATTCATCATTGAGCCCTGCACTCAGAACAAACAGGTCTTTTCCATTCTGATATAAATTATGTCAACAAAGGCACATTCATTCATTTTGGGGTAACAGCTAGTTGGGAAGGGTGGAAACTAAGTAGACAGAGTAAAAATTTAAAATAATTTGACACGATGAAGAAATAGAAAAATGGAGTTTCCATGAGCACAAAAGAATGCTAAACAGATTAAAACTCATGACGGAAAACAATTAGTTATTTGTTAATGTGACAGCAATATATGACAACAGCAAACAAAGTGAGTGAGTGAAGTCCTATGGAACTTAGATTTTGGTGAGGTTTAGCACTGTAACCCACAAATAGAGAATTATGGGAGACTACCATGTTTACTTTCAGATGCTGTTCTGTACACCCAAAAGGACATGTAATGAGGAAAGTCCTGAGGAGCTGAGCAGTGGACCTGTGGATCAACAGCCTTTCCCAGCTCAGTGATGTGCTGCAGACAAGAGTGCCTGTGGCAGATGTGGCCACAGACAACAGCAGTGCAAAGTGTGCAAAAGTGCATTATACATATATTTACTCATTAATCACTGACATTTTTTATAGGCCTATGCAACTGTCTGAATGTGTATCCCCCAAAATTCGTACGTTAAAAAACCTAAGGTGATGGTATTAGGAGATGAAGCTTTTGGGAAGTGAGACAGGAGCCACATGATAGGATTAGTGTCCTGATAAAAGGCCCCCCCCCCCCAAAAGCTCCTTGTTCCTTCTGCCATGTGAGGACACAGTGAGAAGGTACTGTCTGTAACCCAGAAGAGGGCCTTTGCTAGAACCTGACTGTTCTGGCACCCTGATCTCAGACTTTCAGCCTCTAGAATTATGAGAAAGAAATGTTTGTTATTTATAAGGCACCCTGTTTATGGTGTTTTGTTATAGCAGCCTGAACAGACTAAGACAGCCTGTTTGGGACTTAAAACATGAACCATGGACTAGTTTCTAAGAGCTTCCCCATGAATCAGCAGCATTGGGCACTGTGTTAGGAGAGGCAGGAGGTGAGCTCCTCTCCTAGATACGTCCATTGAAGAGGGACACACTAGCCTAAAAAGAACAAGAATGGAAACAAAGGACAGCCTAAAATTAGAAAAAGCAGGCCATCACGCCCACACGCCTGCAGGATGTTAGAGGGCTGTGACAGCCCTGCTGTGAAGCGCTATGCAGCAGGCTAAATTCTACCCACTGTCACAAAGAACCTTTATCAGAGCAGAATTTCCTCACCCAACAAGAAATATGTTAAATGAACTTCATAGAAACCATTCCATAGGAATAAAATATAACTTGTTAAATGATTAGAGAAAAAATTTCTCAATTATTTCATCACTAGGATCATAAATCCACCTCAAAAAATTATATTTAAAGATTTATGATTAAAGGTATCCTATAGCCCTAGCTGGTTTGGCTCAGTGTATAGAGCATCAGCCTGTGGATGCAAGGTTCCCGGGTTCGATTCTGGTCAAGGGCACATGCCCAGGTTGTGGGCTCAGTGCCCAGTAGGGGGCGTGCAGGATGCAGCCAATCAATGATTCCCTCTCATCATCGATGTTTCTATCTCTCTCTTCCTCTCCCTTCCTCTCTGAAATCAATAAAAAAAATATTTTTAAAAAGTATCCTACATAATAAAGAGGCAATATGCAAATTGACCCTCACACCCTCACAAGATGGCTGCCTATGACCAGGCCAGCACGGGGGTTAGTGGGGGACGACCAAACGAATGAACAAGCAGGCTGCGTGGGGCGACCAGGCTAGCAGTGGAGGTTAGTGAGGTACGACCAAACAACCGAACAGCAGGCTGCGTGGGGCGACCAGGCCGGCAGGGAGGTTAGTAAGGGACGACTAAACGACTGAACAAGCAGGCTGGGTTGGACGACCAGGCTGGTGGGGGGGTGGTGCAGTTGGGGGCAACCAGGCCGGCACGGGGGGGGGCCAGTTAGGGGTGACCAGGCCGGCAGAGGGGGGCAGTTAGGAGCAACCAGGCCAGCAGGGAGGGGGCAGTTGGGTGCGACCTGGCCAGCAGCGGGGGGCATTTAGGGGCGACCAGGCCGGTGGGGGGGGGGCAGTTAGGGGCAATCAGGCCAGTAGACAGGTGAGCGATTAGGAGCCAGCAGTCCAGGATTGTGAGAGGGATGTCCAACTGCCTAAACCGGCAGTCGGACATCCCCCAAGGGGTCCCGGATTGGAGAGGGTGCAGGCTGGACTGAGGGAACCCCCCACCCCCTGTGCATGAATTTCGTGCACCGGGCCTCTAGTATGAATAAATATTTTTAAAAGGGGAATAAGCAGCATGATTTCTATTATATTTTTCACTCATATTTCTATCTCTAGAATCAAAAAGCTCTCACTCATGTAAACGGACCAGGGTTGGATGCCAATTTTTTTGTATTGATTTTGTGGTTATGGGGCCTGAACTAATGCACCCTTGCCTTCTGGTTGAAAGTGAAATGACCTCCGGCTGAGGACTACCCACTTCATCTAATTCAGGTTATGCTAAATCTGAGGTATTTCTTCAAAGCTGTTACTGTTTTTCTGGCTCACAGTTTCATGATCCTACATTTCTCTTGTGGAAGTCTTTCTCTAGCAGAGACAGGTCAGTGACAGCTGAATAAACACTTTGCAAGTGCTCATAAGTCATGCTCTTTGTATTCGAGTCTGATGAATGGGGCTGTGAGACCAAGGCAGCATTTCATCAACATACTGTGTGTCCTTATTTTGTAATCATTACACTATCAATCAGTGTCTTAAAGACACACTGAATTTACACTGAATTCACTTTTTAAGTGACATTAAACTTAACAAATGGTAAGCCTGTTATTGCAACAGAGCCCCTCCTTAAAGGCTATCCTCCCTGTCTGGGGTCCAAGGTGCAGCTTTGAGACATGACAAGTCTACATTTGTACTCTATCACCTCACAGCTGCAGAAGCGTGGGCGGCCTGCGCTCTGGTCCAGTGCATAAGCATGATTGCCCAAGGCAGATGGAAGGAAGCCATGTGAAAACATGCCTCCTTAAAATTCCTTGAAATGTTGCTCTCAAACCAGAATATCTGTTAGCACTCGGCACAGCTGACCCGTCCGACCTAGCCCTTAATGATCAAGATAATCATTTATGAATTAAATACTTCCATTACAGACAGAAATTTGTTGTAACAAAATGATGCTTTGACGCAGGAATAGCCCTGTGGACTGTTTTCTTTTGGAATCAGTTTATCTGATGGGCTAATTAGTTGGGTTCATTGGATTACTAGGGGAAAAAAATAGCTTTCATTTTGTACTCAGTTTGTAAATCCAACATTTGTAAACATACACTAAACTGAATTGATTCATTGTTCAGCAATTAAATTTGGTTTGCACCAACATTAATTTAAACATCAAACAAATGGCAAAGAGCCCTTTCAATTCATGAATTATTGTGCAAAGGATACCTCAGAAAATGAAATCATGTATTTTCTATTTCTGTATGTTACATATTCCAATGCTAAGAGGGATTTTCCGATTTCATTTTCATTTGAGGAGTGAGCCTGACAACTGGCCTGGCATGCTCTTGTTCAATCCTCCCCTGATCCAGTTTCTTAAAATATCAGCATAATCTTATTTGTTTTTATCATTAGAAACCAGCCAATATTCGCTTCTTAAATCCTAACATAACAAATATCTGGGAGTAGCATCTTCCCCCAGAGGTGATGGTAGTTAGAAAGGTAGAGGAGGTGGAGAGGGAGAGGGGAGAGCACAGATTCCCAGAAACACAGGACCTCAAGTTGGGCTGAGATTAGCTGGCTGTTGTTATCATTATTGATGCATGAAATCTAGCTGCTTTATTCATTTTCTAGGACTTTGTAATGTATATTTAGTCTAAAGTACTGACATATTATTTCGTCAAGTTTGTTTAGAGTATGAATCTTTCTGGTTCTAAAGGAAGCATTTGAACGTGATGTGGGGGAGGGTGGGGAGGAGTGCATGGAGCCCATAGTCCATCATGAACCTAGGTGTGAATGGGCTCTGGGGGGGAGGATGCTGGGCCCTGCCTCCAGCTGCAGGCCTTCTGTGCTCCCATTACTGCACAGTCAGCACTCCTCCTTGTAATCGGCGTGTTTCAGGTCAGATCCCAAATGCCCTGCTTGACATTTAACTTGACCATCAAGTCCAGAGTCCAGCAGTATAAATTCAGAGCCTCAGAACAGGTGGACAAAATGATGGTGCTGATGTGTATCCAATGGTTCCTTACAGCTGGATTAGTCTTCAGATATTTGCATGGTTTTGTGCTTTTTAGACACAGCATGGTATAAACTGGGATTTGGCAATTCAAATTAATATTAACATTTCAAAAATCTAACCTAAAAGCTGGTATAGTAAGGTCAGAGAACAAATTAAAAATGTTAAAAATGTTTTAAACTTACTGGTGATGCTGTTGTGCTCTCGTGAATAAAACACAAAATGTAAACAGAGCGAAAGCCCCGCCTTGAACAGACCAGGTGGCCAGGCCATAGCCACACCACTCAACCACTTCTCCAAAGTAGTTGGCTGCACTTACGTATTCAAATAAGCCTCCTAGAAGAAAGCACAGACCCAGTGGTGCATTGACTACAAAGTGATGCCTCAGGAAATATTGACTTAAGAGATAACAGTAAATAACTACTTTGGAGAACATAAATTCAACTATGGGAAAATATATCTTTTACAGAATTTTAATCAATGAAACACTTCCAACATTACTAGTTTTACTATTTCATATCATAAATTCTGGTAGTAACTATCTACCTGTATCAATACCCATCGTTTTAGCTGAGAAAAAAATGCTATAGTTTTCATATACTTTAATATATATCACTTCATTAATTAATGGATCAAACTGACAAAAGCTGAGCAAGGACAGAGAATACAGAACAATTAATGAACCAGCTTAATAAAATGGATCTGTATATAACTCTAGACTAAAAATTGAAGAAAATATTAATTTTTAAGGACAGATTCATTCACTCATTCATTCACTCACTCATTCAGTCACTGGTTTACTCACTCATCAAAACTTTACCGATTCATCAAGTCTACATTATGGCCAGACCCTGGTCTAGACACTTAAAGTGAACTGTGGATAAGATCCCCACCCCCCACACCTGGAACGTTAAACTTCAGTGTACTAAACAAGGAAAGCACAGTCTGGCAGAGGGTGTGGAGTTCTGTGGGGAGCAGAGCAGGGCAAGAGGGCTCAGAAGTTGAGTTGGGGGAAGAGGGAGGTCATGTAACAGACAGTGGCTGGGAACAGGCCTCCCTGGGTAGGTGAATTTTGATCCCAGACTTCCTGGGAGGGTTGGGCTGCAGTTATTAGGGTGGAAGCCCTCTGGGTAGGAGAAGCAAAGGCCCTGAGGCCAGAGCTGCACACTCTGCAGGGCCCCAATTTAAGCAATTTGAAATGTAGGATTTTTTGGTCATTTGCTCCTTACGTTGCTATTCTCCTTATATAGTTTCCAGGTATGTAAGTGTGCTTTCCAGGTCCAATGAAGTTTTAGTCTTACCTACTTGATTCCTGTTTTAAAAGCTCTATTGATTTCTAACTTATATTTGCTAGTCCTTTTTATAGTGCGCACACGAGCATGTGTGTGTGTGTGTGTATATAATCATTAACTTAAATCCCTTTTTATTTTTTTAAACATTTAAGTATTCACTGTATAATCTGTTTCTATTAACTCTAAGATCTGAGGTGTCTCACGTTTAATCGTGCTGTCACTCTAGGTGCCAGATTTCTTCATTGGCTCTGTAACCTTGGAGTATGGTCTGTGGTCTGTGGGGCTCTCTGAGGCCTGAGCTGACAGCAGGTCCCTTCTGTGTACCCTGGCCCATGTATGAGGGCACCACCCACCGGGATGACATGGATCCTAATTCATGGCTTGAGGTTTTTCAGACCCTCCAGGTGGCGCTAATTTGGGCTGCAAAGCAGCATGAGGGGAGCAATGGCCACAGATTCTGATGGGTGTACTTTGGACACTAGGACTCAGATTTTGCCCTCTGATGATGACTTCCTTCCCTGACACCACATTCATACATTTAAAATGACTCTTTAAAAATTTCATCCAGTGAAAGCAAAGCATGGAGAAAAGAGAACAAAGCCAATTTAAGGAGAATATGGACTAAGATAATTTGATATATTTAAATTGTACCAGGAAGTAGCAGAAAATAAGATGAAAAAGGGTAGATAGGTTTTTATTGGTGTTGAGCATCTAGTGGTTTGGTTGACTTTTTCTTATTAATTTAATTAACCCTTTATATGTTATGAGCAATAATAATAGCTCCCAGTTAAACCAAGAAAGTAGATTTTATTATCTCTATTTCATAGGTGAAGAAACTTGAGCCCTCCCCCCACTCCCACCGCAAATTTCACCCAACATTTTTAATTGTTTTCAAAGGGAGGGTCAGTCAAGGTATCTATTATGTAATATTTTTTAAAATGAAGTTTTAGACACCCTTTGTAAACAATAAATTCTTTCTCATATTCTCTCTTTCCAAACAGAGATAACTAGAGTTTCCTTTTTGGTTAATAACCATTCAGTTGGCCAGAATTTATCATTTTAATAAAACAATATTCATAGTGACTGCTATGAATAATAGTGATTCACATTAAAAACTACAGCTAATACATATTACACATTAGTTACTAGATCTGGCAAAATTAGAATAGCAAGGCATCATAGAATAGCAATGCAATTTCAGAATGAATTCTCCACTTTCAGTACATACCCCTGGGAATTTTGTACCCAGTCTCCCCTGGCTGCCTGAGATTCCTCAGGATGTGATCGGAGTGAACGTTTATCAGCATGCCTACCAGCCACAAGACAAAACCTGAAGGAAAAAACACACGAGAGTATTACAGTTGATAAACTACAAAATTTATAAACCAAGGCCTGAAAGGACAGTATCACTGTACTCCTTTAATATTATCATTATTAGTATAACATATCAGCCATAATTGATAGTAAAAATCATAATATTGTCCTTTATTTAGAAAGATAATTACTGTTCTCAGGTATGCTCAATAGGGCTGTTTTTCTAATAAGATTAATTATCTGATCTAGTCAAAATACTTTGACATGATGGCCACAATCCATGTTTTTAGAATGACTGGTAGGATTAGAAGTATTACTGATGGTTATAACAGCTGTGTGAGGCATGGCTGCCCCCTCCATTTGGCAGGAGAAGACTGACATCTCAGGGTGTGCCTCATCGTGATGCACACGGGTCCCCGGAGGGGTGCTGGTTCCCAGGAGCTAATCTCTGGTCCTTCTCTCTTCCTTCTTTATAACCTCATTTGAACATTTTCATACATATACATGGCTTCCAACACTGCTGATTTCCTGCTCACTTTATCAGTCAGTATTCCTAGGTCTGCTCACCTGCCTCAGCTCCCAACAAAATCTTCCACTGCAACTGCATGCATGTGGACACCCCATAGCTTCCAGAATGCTTTCCCTCCCATTCTTAAAAGTCTTCAGAGAGCTATCCTCACTTACAGGAGACTTATTAGCATCACATCAATTAATGCCAACAAGAAAATGCAAAATGCCAAAATAGTGTTTTATGAAAGAAATAACTTGATTTGATTTAAAAAAAAAAGAGTTAACTTGATTGTTCTGAGATACTTCAAAAATGTGAAAGGCAAATGTGGCTTTTATGGTGTCATTTCATTCAGTATGAAAAAAAATGTATGCTTGAAATAACATTATGAATTACTCATCAGTCATCCTGATGGTATTAGTTTTTTCGCATTTAGAACAGGGACTTTAAAGCACTCTGGTTTATGTTAAGGGTCTCAAAATGTCCTGATTTCGCCACTGTAGACTGCTTTCTTCCAAGCATGTTAATACTTGTGGCCCACCAACTACAAGTTTAACATGCTTGTAACAGTTCCTACCAGATTTTGTAATATAAGTCACTTATGGAATCCGTGAATTTATAGCTGATTCACATTTTTTTTTTGTCATTTCAGTATGTCACTGCTAGGTGATGTGGTCCCCAATTTGAGGTCCCAGAAAGTATCATGTTCTCAAAATTCCATGCTTACTTTATTCTTCTTCTAAGAGACAAGCTCCCTTTATTGTCTAGATTGGGGTTCATCTAAGCTAAATATTTAATTCCATTTCTGGGGATCTTAAAAATTTTTGTACAAATTCTTTTAGATCAACAACTTTTACTGTTCTGGAAAATCTTCCGTTAGAATATTATCATTATTATTTGCTTATCTTTTCATGGTAAGTATCGTAAATGTAATCAATTAATTATTCATGCAATTTCTTATTAGTCTGTTATAAAACCAAGCTCTATGAAATAAATATAATGCAAAAAAAGTAACTTAGTTTGTTTTCCTATTGTTTTTTTTCCTTTTCATTTTTGATTCCTTCTCTTCAATTGTAAAGAAGCCAAGAGATCTGTGTACAATTTATTGGTGTCTTAAATTTTACAATGGCTTCCAAGGCATCTGCAGGTGATGTGGTCTGTCTGCAGAGCTCCTTTAAATGACATCTACAGACCAAAATGATTCTTTTATTTTGTTGTTATTCTCAAAATTATTCAAATAATTCATCTAAGGAATGATTCCTGTGAGAATCACAAATAAGCATTAAAGTCCTTATCTTTTAGATTAAAAACAAAAACCCTTTCCTCTTGCCCATCCCTTGCTACTTTTGGGAAACCAGTGTGGTGAGCAGGTTTAATCCCCTGCTCTGCTACTTACTCAATTTAGATGGTGGACCATCTGCTTACCCCACTGATTATCCCTTTCTTCTGTGAAAGGACCCAATTTCTACTCTTCTATAGTGTACAAACAATATTGTAATTTAGTGTTTCCTGGAGGCACGGATTTGTGGAGTTAGAAAAGGATCCTGAAACACTTTTTCATCCATTCTTCCTTTGATAAATAAAGAGGCAACTCCCTCCTATTAAGAATTCAGGTATGACTAGGGCACTGCCCTGGGAATAAAATTTTAATTCACAGAAAAAACTATGACTGAAAAATGTAAAAGTACTTTGTCAACAATAAAGTACATCAAATGTTAGTTTTCTCTATTATTACAAACTATATAGGGAAAAAGCCAAATGACAGGAAAGGTAACTTTATGGAGCTTTAGGATAAAGGACTGTGGGGCAGCTTGAAAATCTGAGGTTTAATTTCATATCTCTTAGGAGGGGCTATAGGGGCAAGTTACATATGAATGTGTTAGAAGTAACTGTAGGAGGTGCTCGGCTGTCTTTGATAAGATGGACAATTAGTGCCTAAGTTTCCTCAGTGTTCTGGCTGCTCAAGCTGCTGAACCTTATTGCTATATTTAGTTTTGCCTTAAGAACAGATATTTGTGCCCTGGCCGGTATGGCTCAGGAGGCTGGAATGTAGTCTGATTTGTGCACCAAACAGTGTCAGGTTCAATTCTGGGTCAGGGCACATACCCAGGTTGTGGGTTTGATTCATGGGAGGCAGCCAATCTCTCACATCAATGTTTCTTTCTCTCTTTCCTTTCCTTGATCAAAAAAGCACAGGTATTTGCACTTTCAGTGTCTGAGTGGGCACAGGTGCTATGCACCTGCATCATCTCCTGGCTTCTGGGACACTAGGATAGCCTGATTCTGCGCCCCCCCCCCCCCCCCCCCCCCCGGGCAGCTAGGTCATGAACCATTTCAGACTTTTTGCTCTCTCAAGAAGTTTGGGCTTTCTCACTGCAAACAACTGGAACATGAACATTGAAGTGATGACTGGCATGGTGGAGTGCATCACTAAGGTCACTCACCTGTTAGGAATCGGGGGTCAGTGACCCAGTCAACAGCATACACTGCATATTCGCTTAAGTATCTGCTTTGTAAGTAGCCATTATAGGTACAGAATATGAATGCAATTACACATGAGTACAATGGTGTAGGCTTCCCTCCTCGGATCAGAAATGGGAAAATCAAGGACCTGAGAAAACAAGAAACAGAAACAAATGAAAAAGAACAATATAGTATTTCTACAATTCTATTTTAAGTGTCTTGGGGTTTTAATCTCACTTCCTTGTACAAAAGTTATTCTCATAACACATATTGATTTATTCTATCTGTTAAAGGCACAACTTATAGATAAAAAATTAACCATATTTCAATAATGTACACCATAGTGCACAAACTCAGGATTCTCATTATAAAGAAAGTGAAACCAATACAGAGTTACAGAAAACCGAGGGTTTCAAGAGGCTCTCAAAACCTCCACTATCTGAAAACCCATAGCTCGTTCTAGTCTGAACATTTTATCATCCATTACCATCACCAATGGCTCTCTCTCATTTACTAAGCACCATCAGCTATAAGGCCTCCCAGCTACCTGCATAGCAGAGACTTTATACACATTCCACAGAGGATGAGATCAAGACTTGGAGTGATTAAATAATCTGTTCCAGATCACAGGGCTAGTGACTGGCCAAGCGTGTCAATCTGGGTAATTCAAAGATCGTGTTTTTCTGTTATACCATGCTGGCTTAGCTGCATGCTAAGTTTAAAGAGAGAGAGAGAATAAGGACAAGAAATTACAAACTTATGAAGAAAAGAGGATGCATGTTTCAAAATTATAGATGAATGAAGTGTTAAAGAAGTGACTCTGAGGAAACATTCTGCAAAGGTGGTAGTGTTTCCCTCCAGGACGTGAGAATCATGTATAGGGCGGCTAACGTTTGATAGTTCTCCCAATTCAGTTTCAAGTGCAGGGCTGAATTCTGAATGCAGCAAACACTGGCTGGCACCTTGTAAAGGTGAAACCCAAACCTCTGTTTTTCCCTCACACCCCTTTCCTCCTCTGTCACTCATGTCCTGTGCTGCGTAGTAACCTGAGTCTAGATTTGGTGTCAGCACTACCACCTGTTTTTGTACAGCCTGTGAGCTAAGAATGACTTTTACATTTTTAAGTAGTAGGGAGAAAAATCAAAAGAATATTTTATGACACATGAAATTCAAGTTTCAGTGTCCGTAAATAAAGTGGTATTGGAACAGGCCTGGTCACCTGTTTACATACTTTCTGTGGCTGCTCTGCAGTTACACTTGCAGACTTGAGTGGCTGTGATAGAGCCTGTTTCAACACTCTGCATGGCTGCTTGGCGCACTGTAAATTACCATGACACAGTGTTTCGAGTGCTACGGGTATCCTTGTTTGACACATTTATTTTAGTATCAGCAATATTCATGCCAAGACAAGTGAAGTGTTCATGCTTTGAAGGCACAGTGGAATGCAGATATTACTAGAGGTAGCGAAGCAATCTTTGTTATGCAATGACATGCCAGTTTTGCCAAAAGCATAGAGGTTGGCACTACCAGACTATGCGCTCATCAGAGTATCCCCAACTCACAGGAAAGGTCAGAAAAATGAAGAAAATTTAAAACAGAATCTCATCACAGAATTTCTTTACAAAAGAAATGAAAATGAGGCCACAACCACAGGAAGTTCAAGTTAGGCAAGCAAGCGAAGCCATACCCCCATGGGGAATTAATCAGCTGCAGCAGCAGCAGCCAAAGGAACGTGCCCGGACAATACAAACTTGCAGGACTAGCCTTTCCTTGAGAGCAGCTGCTTGAGGAGTTGGGACACCAGGAGCAATGCCAATAGTCAGTTAAAAAACAAGGCACAAGATCGAATGAACGGTCTTCCTTGGCTCTTGTTGGGTCCATCGATGTCACTGATACTGCTCAGTTGTTTATTTATTTTTATTTTTTCTTTTTTTAAAAAAAATTTTTAAATTAAATCTTTAGTTGTTTATTTAAGGAGTCAATGCCAAGGTTGACCTGACTGAGGAACAAGGCTCTTAAAATAGTCTGCGTGGAACAATTGGAAACAAGAGTATTTCCAAAGAAGTTGAGAAAACACGAATTCTATACAACCCAAAGTAGAATATACTGTTACAGCTGATAATAGTAAAAATGTGTGGAACAGAAAAATGAACCTATTACAAATTTATAAAACTTGTGAAGATGTGTTTAAGGCTACTCCCTGTATCATCAGGTACTTTCCAGAACAATCTATGTCATGTGATTGAACCAATAGGGTCAACAGAGAATTTTACATTCTCTTCAGGGCTTATACAGAAAAATTGCCCTCACTATTATTGAGTTTTGAAGGGCTTTGGAAATTAGCTTTTGCTGCAGATCTGATAATGTTTCTTAGTGAATTCAACCCTAAACTATAAGACAAAACATCACTTAAGTGCAAAACTTACACCGTGTTAAAGGCATTTCAATGCTACTTGACATTGTTTGAATGGCAAGTCATGTCAAACTGCTTTATATACTTTTTATGCTGTTAAAGTTAAAAGAAGAGTGATGTCTCCATTCTTACAGAAATTTGCAGTGGATATAATTTCTAGAATCAAACTAGCTTTTTGAACCTTGATTTCTATATTTCAAAAATCATTTAATTGTGTAATTGAGGAGTTGTCACCTAATATTCAATTGGAAAATACTAATCTACAAAGTAATGACATACTAAAAGGCAAACACCGAGAGAATCTAATAGAATTTGATAAATGGCTCTCAAGGAATGAACATGCTCAATTAAAATCATAAACTCATGGGCTGATATAAATATTTGGCAATGCCTGTGTGGAAAGACATTCTCTAAGATAAAATTTCACTGCAGATCAGCACTAAGAGGTGAACACTTACAACAGACTTTGGAAATAGGAAATAACAATGCTGAAGCCCAAGGATGTGAAATGTCATCACCCACCAAAGGAATAATTCCATCCTTCTCATTACAGCTGCCTGACAAACACTGCACTGAGATATTTATATTTTAAATTGTGTCAATAAAATTTTTGTGAAAATTTGTTTTCTCCTCTGTTATAAATGCCTACACAATATCCCCTATTTTGTCTGTTGGCCCACAAAGTTTCAATATACACTATTTGGCCCCTTTCTAAAAAAAAGTTGCCAATCCTTAGTCTAGATTAACACATTGCGGACCAATAGTTTTATTGCTAGCTTTACCCAGTGGCCAGATAAGTTTCTATTGAATGAGTACAAAAAACGTTTTACATAAATATTAAAGTCATGCTTTAAAATTAAATACCCATTGCATTTTGAAGTTATTTATTACATGTTCTTACAAGCTAATATCTTTTTAAAATATGATCTTTGTAAAACACTGTATAATATGAAGCAAGAATTCTCATGATCTGTCCACAATGTGTTAAAACAGTTATAGTCTGGAAACATCACTTAGACTTCCTTAGAAGAATGTTCTTGCTCAAGACCCCGCACTTGGCTTTCAGGCAGGTGCTGCAGTCTGGGACATTTGTGCTTGAGGTGGAGACCATGCATCTATGTCCTCAGTTATGCAGAGTCACACTGACTTCTGTCTCAGCATGTACCCTGGGGGAACTTGGAAAAGACATTCATGAAGGACCCTGGTGGTAGAAGAATTACTTCTCTTTGGTCTCATGTGAATGTCAGAAAAGTGGCCATGGCCCGGAATGTCAGAAAAGTGGCCATGGCCCGAAATGGCCTTAAAAAGAATCACACACACACACACACACACACACAAGAATGACACAGGTCTATTCTATTGCTCTCTAATTTCTGCCCTTGAAGAGGACAGCAGTGACCCTGATGCCACAGCCAACGTCAGAAGAGGCAGGCTCGGGCAATGATGCCTGTGCCTTCAGAACTCCAGGAGGGAGAGAAGGTCCTCCTCTCCATCCTGTCCTTCCCCCAGCCTGAGCATCCTCACGTGGACCAAGTACTCCTGGCTCTGAAGACACAAGAGCCTGGTCTTTAGTAGCCAGACTTCTAGATGCAGCACGCCTTCCAGAAGGGAACACTCGGCTTCCTCTCAGCAGTTCTCAGACTTTCTCCTTTTATGTTATTCCTTTAGTTTTACTTTTCTTTGGAAACCCATGCAGTTGTCAGAAAGGTTTTCCTCTGACTTAGACCAATTAGGAGCCAGAATGGGTGGAGAGAGTGGCTTCCAGGCATGGCTTTTATCTGAATTTTCATCTAGTTAGACAGCAGCAGTTCAAGGATCCAAGTGGCCCCGGGCAGTTTCTCACAGTGAAGAGTCACTTAGGGACGGGAGTCAGGCTCAGATAGTAAAAAAGGCAGCACACCTGCTACCAGAGGTTCTCAACCTGTGGGTCGCGACCCCTTTGGTGGTCGAACGACCCTTTCACAGGGGTCGCCTAAGACCATCCTGCATATCAGATATTTACATTACGATTCATAACAATAGCAACATTACAGTTATGAAGTAGCAATGAAAATAATTTTATGTTTGGGTCACAACATGAGGAACTGTATTTAAAGGGCCAGAAGGTTGAGAACCACTGTTAGACTGACATAACTTAGCACAGGGGTGGGCAAACTTTTTGACTCGAGGGCCACAATGGGTTCTTAAACTGGACCGGAGGGCCGGAACAAAAGCATGGATGGAGTGTTTGTGTGAACTAATATAAATTCAAAGTAAACATCATTACATAAAAGGGTACGGTCTTTTTTTTTTTAGTTTTATTCATTTCAAACGGCTGGATCCGGCCCGAGGGCCGTAGTTTGCCCACGGCTAACTTAGCACCTGTCAAGACCCAGGGTCCAGGGTCCAGATTGCCTGTTACAGCAGGTCTGTGTATTCAAAAGCCTTTTCTCATCTAGGAACTGCAGGGAATGAGCATTCCTCCTCTTTGAGAAAAGGAATTAAGTCAGACTGAAGTTGAAAATCCTTTACAATGGAAATTATCTTTAAGAGTAACTATGAAGTACTTGGACTTAAAGGTAGTTTATTTAGGTAATGTGTTATATAAATCCATTTTCTGTTGATAATGAGCTGAAGGCTCACAATAGCCAGGTTCCATGGAGCTACAAAGCATTTCAATTTTCTCACTCATCAGGCAGGCTGTGGACAGAAATCAGCATTTGTTCTCCATCATGTTACAATTTTTCCATTTTACTTTCTGTTCCATGTAAGCAGACTCCCTTTCACCAACTTGTTTTAATTACTTGTGGAAATTTGCACATTTTTGTGTCTGCAAGGCAACGAGGAATGTGGGACACATCTGATGATGGTGATCTGCTGAGCACAGACCTAGGGTTTCTGTCAGGAAGAAGAGACCCTGTGGGTATATGAAAGTCTGCAATCTGGGGCCATTCAATACTCTCCCTCTGTGGATCCCAACCTGTCATAGTAAAATAGTGACACCACATGCTTGAGTGGGACTTCATTGTTGTCATGGATTAAAATGTTCCCACAGATGACCTTTGCCACCTATCAGGAAAGAGATCAGGTCCCTGGCACATTCCTTCCCGCAGCTGTTCCCTCTTCCCATTCCAGTCAAGACTTTCCTTCCTTCCCTGGCTCTTCAGCCAAAAAGATCTCCCAGATTCTCTACAATCTGTCTTCCATTCCTTAACCCCTTGAGTGCTGGGGCGCGCGATCGTGCTCCTCCTGTCTTTCGCCAAAAGTGCCGGGAGCGCTATCAAAGCTTCGAAATGGTGTCCAGTTCTAAGTCTGCTTTTATTAGTGATGATGATATTGCTAAATATGTCAATGTAGTAAAGGTTTCCTTAAGTTTTTGAACATGTAACTTCATTTACTTGCGATTCATAATTTTTTTACTAAACTGCTGTAAAATCAGCAAAAATGCCTTGGCAATTTTAGCATAGTTCCTAGGATATTGGTTGGCACTCAAAGGGTTAAGGGCCTATCTTGTCTCTATATCCCCAATAATGTGTACAGTGACAGATACACAGCTCAATCCTCAGTAAATATTTGCCAGATGAAGAAAGATGTCCAAGTTTCCCCTCTCCTGTAAGCAAATACCCTTTCCCATTTACCTTAGGGAAGCCCTCCGTCTGGCTTCAGTTCTCCCCACCCCCTCGAGAGGCTAAAACTCACCTAGAACAGGGCCTAGCCTCCCTCCTGAGCTCACACTGGGCCCCCACAGACAGCTGCCCTCTGTAAGTTGCTACCACTTGGGCCTGGTCAGTCTCTCTCTGGAGCACATCCCGATTAATGCTTCTCTTGCCATCAGCCAGACTCTGGCTTCATTCATACAATCTCCTCTCTTATTTAGGCCAGTATCACTTGCATTGCTCTGTGCAAATGAGGGACTCCATTAAGTGTTTCCGAGCTCGGCTGCATGGCTTGTAACAAGTGCTAAATGCAGCTGGTGCTTCTGTTCTCTTCCAAGTGCTCACTGACTTAGGTCAGATGACTGTTTAATAAATTAGTTGCTTGGGTAGAATGGAAAATGTTTATCTTTTCTATTTGGAAAAATTCAATGTCCCAAAACCACACAGGCTACGTGTAAAGTGACATTGTACAACTTAGATTAGAGAGGCAGCTGAATTAGGGAAGGGGATTTCAAAACTATACCTGACCTAGCAAATCCTCAGGGCAGAGTTTCTAAAGCTACTAGTCTAGGCACCAGGGTTTGCAGTCCCAGCAATCTCTAGTCCAATGGCCTTACATAAAATTCTAGAAATGATGTCGGCCTTTTGGGAGGCTGCATTCATTACTTTCCTAGAGTGAGCATAGAATGTATTAAACATCATAACTTAAGTTCAAAAGCTTAGCCAGGCTTTCAAACAAAGCTCTGTAAAGTGCTCTCTTCTTTTCCAATGCCATGTCTTCAAAAATTTTTCATTGGCACGCAAAGCTGGCAGCAGCATACATGAAAGACACACAGAAATATAGGCATGGATCTGCCCACTTACATGACAATCTAAAATGGTATTATTTATCATGTATTCAACATCCAGATTTGCCAACACTATGAAAGCATTTTATGGAGCTGCCTTTGTTTAATGCCAATCCCACAGGCTGGCATCATCACTGTGTCTGTTTCATAGATGGGGAAACCCACTGGAAAGCAATTTAGTAATTCATCTCGGGTCCCAAGTGACGGGAATTAGATAACACCTGGCAAACTGACTCCAGAGACTGCTTTTAGCCACTAGAGAAACGGACATATGGACAAACACAGGTCTGGTATATGTATGGCAAAGTGTATATAGACACGAGAGTTCTACTGATATTCAAATTGCATCCACAAATTTGGTAATGTTCAACCACATTATCAAAAAATCCAGCAGTCTGACAGAAACTTTGTTTAATGAAATACTCTTGGAGTGTTGGGGTACAGGACTCAGACAGGCTTTGTTGAATATGAACTCTGCCTGCATAAAAGCGGATGACAACGCACTGCACCAGGCAGGACTCCTGTGCCCTAATAACCATACAGAAGAGAAGTTCCTAGGTAGACACACACAGAGATACAAGCATGCTTACTTCTTCCTACCTCTATGCAGTGGGTATTGTAAGGTAGGACTCCAAATCAGAGAGGTTCAATAACCTGCCCACATTCACAGAATAAGGGAGCCCAGCTTTCTTGATGTAGAAAACATTATTTTTAACTGTGCAGCCTTCTGAAGTCTGAATCAAAAATTTTACATTTTGATTTCTAGCTTTTGTTCCGCCTTTTGGTTTCTCTGTGTAAAAGCCAAAGCCTAAGAGCTGGAGAGCCCAGCTTATCAGAAGAACCTGAAGATCTCTCAGACACAGCCATTAAAATTCTTCACAAAAACCAAGATTTGGAAGTCCTCTATCTGTGTCTAAAGTCATTTCTTGGAAAGCTACTCCCCCTATCCTTGGTCCTGTGCATAATGCGGAGGTGAAAGTCTCAGAAGGGACCAATTTCTGCCCCGAATACTATACAGGGGATTTACAAAGTCCTTCGGAAAGCAGCTTTCCAGGCAATCACCTACCCAGGAGAAAACAGCCCCACTGACAAGGATACCAAATGGAAAAGGCAGAAAAGGAGCCAGAAATGTTGCTGGGGACGGGGGGGGGGGGTGGTGGTGGTCACCTTTGGCCAGACAATAAAGCCCAGGATTATTGTATAGCTAACACTTTTCTAGGTTGAAATTTTACAAACAATTGTTAATGTAAGAAACATTCAAACCTGTCAAGAATTTTTGTGAGTTTGAGCCAAACGGATTGTGATAATGTTCCAGAGAAATGGCAGTTTTTCACCTTGCTTTATACATTACAATCAAAGGAGGAGATGTCAGTGGGTTACATGAAATCCACTGGTCATAGATTAGGGAGGCGGGTGAAAGGGGATTGGACAAAAAGTGAAAGGATAGACACATGCTTCTTTTACACAGGTGGGTTACAGGACAGTGAAGCCAATAATTAACTTGATAACAACAATGAGGACATTTGTGGTCTCTGTCCCTCCCGGTGCATTAGCTGTGCCCAGCAGGGTCTCGATAAAGGGAAGTTACCTGGACACTCCAAAGGCATGTTATGATAGATGCAAAAAGACAGTAAGCTAGTTAAGATTAAAGTTGATCTTTGTCGGGGAAGATACC